GAAGTCTTTTTCGTAACTAGAAGTGTACAATTACTCTCATCATATTAAAATAACATATGTAAAAGTATCTAACAGTACAAAAGCTCAATAAAAGTTATTTTCTTTGACCACCAAGTAACTTCCAAATAGCCAAAATTAAACTCTGGTAAAAGGGACTTATTTTAACTCAGAGGTTGAAAGACTTTAGTACACAATATGAGAATATAAACCAAGGCTTTATTCCTAGTTACAATATTTTTGTGTGAATTATGGTAGAAAATATTTTATAAATTAAAAATATTCTCAACTACCTGACATCATTAACCACCATCACTAATTAGTAAATTGGTATAAAGAATGTTTTTAGTACTTACTTCTACCCTGTTTGTTAAAGCTTCAGAAGTGGTAGAACAGAAAGCAAGCTGTGTACAATGTGGCTTTGGTGGAAGAGAAAATAAGAAGTAGGTGCTTCTTTCCTCTTCCTTTAGATTTGCTAATACTTCTCTTTCATAAAGGAGTCTAGCATTACTCCAGAGAATTTCAGCCTGGATCCTATCCATGGTTCAATATCATCAGATTAGCGGACATTTTGCTGATCTCAAGAGTAGTTGTGAAATTCAAGCGATCTGATGTAAAAGTATTTCATGAACTACTGAGGACATAATTTTTTACATACTATTATCTTTTACATGAGCTTATACACCTATTTCTAGGAAGAAAGACCCACGCACGCATGGTTTTTGTTTTCTATTATAAATCAGAATGCCAACAAAACTCCTATTTAGGAAGAACAACAGTCTGAAATATAAGAAGCTACAAGACTCTCATAATGCTTTTAAGCAATCAGTTCAGTTCAGTTCAGTCGCATAAGGGAGTTTTAAAATATGGTGTTTATCACTAATATTTGTGGTATTTTCCCCAGTTGTGGCCCAAATGCAAACTGATAAGCAGAAGTGTAAGCAAATACATATTTTGAAACAATTTTAATGCAATAAACAAATATTAAGCGATCAGCCAAAGAAACACAATTTTTAAATGCCAAAGAAATGATTTTGTAACTTAGCTTTGTAATTTACCTTTTTTTTTTAACCTCAACTTGGAAGTATTTCTGTGGAGGGTTCCACTAATCAGAAAACTTAGTTTGGGTTGCTATTTTCTATACTAGACAAACTCCTATTTACTCTTCCTGAATCTATTCCTTTATAAAAGTCCTAAATGAGTCTGGTTAGTTATCTTTCTCCTTCACTCACATTGTTTTAAGTATGTTTCCTTATGATCTGAAAGGATACCTGAACCTCAATATTCATTTGCAACACTGTTTACAAAGTCAAGAGGTGGAAGCAACCCAAATGCTCATTGACAGAGGAATGGATGAAGAAGCCATGATATATATATTCAATGAAATATTACTCATTAATAATGAGTAAAAAGAATGAAATAATGCCATTTGCAATAACATGGATGGACCTAGAGAGTGTCATAGTGAAGTTAAGCCAAACAAAGGAGGAGGAGTACCATATGACAACCCTTATATGTGGAACCTAAAAAGAAATGATGCGAACGAACTTACAAAACAGAGAGACAGAGCATGAACTTATGGCTGCTGGACGGAAGGGACAGTTAGGGAGTTTGGGATGGACATGTATATACTGTTATATTTTAAATGGATAACCAACAAGAACCTACTGTATAGCACATGGGATGCTGCTCAATGCTGTGTGACAGCCTGGATGGAAGGGGAGTTTGAGGGAGAATGGGTACATGTATATGAATGGCTGAGTCTCGGTTCACCTGAAACTATCACAACATTGTTAATCAGCTATACCACCAATACAAACTAAAAAGCTTAAAAAAAGTAAAGTATATTCCCTTTTAACAATGAACATTAATATCAAGGTGGAGTCTGAGAACAGTTCTTATAAATCTGTTAACAACTGTAGTCCTTCGGTAGCTGGTGAGACTAATTTGCTTCTGACAACTAACATTAAGAAAAAAAAAAAAAAGACAACTATATCAACATCTCAGGAAAAGGCTTGCTGGCCTATCTTCCACAATTCTTTGTTTTTTTAACCAACACAGTAGAAGGTAGAATGCTAGCCCCACAAATTTTTTACAAAGTCAGAAACTTAAGAAACACTGCCTTGAAACGTCTCAAAATCAGCTAAGCACTCTTAATTAAAGGTAGAACAGAGAAATGGTTAAGAATGAGGACAGCAGAGTCTGTCACTTTTTTAGGTCTATGAATATCTACACACCACGTTCAAAGCCTCATTTTCTCAGCCATAGTATTTGTTTTACGGGCCTGTTATGAAAATTATCTGAAATAATTCACTGAAAAACTGAAGATTCTAAGTGCTCAACAATGTTTATCATAACCTTTAGCTTCAAAGTTACAAATAATCTGTGTAACACCACTACACTACAGTACTGATGTACTGACTCCCGGTATTATCAATGTAAAGCACTAAAAGGAAAGGTCTCTAAACCTAATAGCAAAAGTCGTCTTAACATTCCTACAGGGTATATTTTATTTTAGATCTACAAGATAACCTTAACATGAACTACTCAAAAGCTGAGTTTACAAAGGAAATTACATCTCCTGTTGTTGCATATCTCAAAACTAGCAACAAATTAACATTGTTACTAAGATACATAACTGTTACTTTTTAAAAGTCACTGTCTGTTAAAGAAACAGACTGTGCATGCATGAGTATATATGAGAATGTTTTCAAATGCTGTATGAAGAACCTTCATATGCTCCAGAGGAAGTCAGACTCTAACAATCACAATATTTAAAATGTTCATAAGAGGCTTTACTAACATTAGAACTAAGCAGGGATCAGAAAATGTATCTACAGGGAGTTATAATCTGTAAAACAGCAGGTGCTCAAAACAAGGAAGGTAAGTAAGGCTAAGCAAAAACCTAGGGATCTAGACACCTTAGATAATACAGTAGGAAACTATTATTTTTAAAATATCACCACTTTTTATATGTGCAAAAGCTTATAGTATATAATGTGCTTTCCATATATAATCATATTGGGCCATCAAAAATGCTGTTAATTATATAACAAAATGTTTTGGTTTTTTGCAGATTACAAATGCAAGGCTCTGAAAATTAATATGATTTGTCAAAAACCACAGTTAGGAAGTGACAAATCAAGAATTTAAACCCTGATCCTCTCACTTATATTTCCCTGTTCTTTCCACTATTCTATAAATCTACTTCTTAAAAGAAAGAAGCAAATTAGCACCTTCACAAAAAGAAATCTCTAGGCCAAACCACAGGCTTTTAATTAGCTGTGCTGAGTTGGGGAAGTCATTTCCCCTCATCAGGCCTTTATTTTTTCATCTGTAAAATGAAGGAAACAGATTAGAAAATTTGAAGTCCCTTCCAGTTCGAAGGATAAATCTCTAGACGGTACCCTTTAAGAAAGAGTACCAGCATTTTACAAATACATGTTGATGTCAGCTTTAGCAAGAGTTCCAAGTCAGAAAGTGGTGTCATTAGCTATTAAGCAACGTATGGCAATTACTGGATAAATTCTTCACACCCATGTGACAGATGCTGCTTCAGTAGCATCAAGTTTATATACAGAAAGCTGTCTAAACCTTTTCCAGACTACAATGGAAATTATTAAATATCACTAATCATTCTCTCTTTAGACTGAAGCAATGCTCTTAAAATATAAGAATGGTTTAAAGAAAATCTAACCACTAGTCAACCAGTACCAAGAAACGGAAAAATTTTAATATTATTTTTATTCTTTAGAATAAAAACCTCTTTTCCAATTAAGAGTTTTCCAAATATCCCTATTGTTTCTTTGATACCTCAAAGAGTATCAGATACATGTTTCAGCAACTTCTATGGGGAAAAAAAAAGTAACATACAAGCATTTTGATAAAAACATCTTCCATTTAAATTCATTCCACCAGTTAGGTTACTTATCGCCAAAGAAAATTCAAGCTTTTCTCCCCTTCACGGTATAAGAGAACTAAAATCAAAGACTGCACAATATACTTTCACCTATTACGTTCCTTCCTCATCTGAATATTTGTTTCTTACTCTTCCTCAGTCTTCATGGAATACACACCCAGGGACTTCCACTTTCCCAGCTCTGCCTGTTCATAAAACCATCTTAACAACAACTATGGAAACCAGAGCGCTTAAGACCATTATAGGCCTCTTTCTCTTTTCCTTTCATGACTACTACTTAGGATTTCCTTCATTTTACACCTCGCCTGTCCTTAAAATAGAACACATATCCTGAATAGTTAATCTTGACCATACTTACTCAACCATTCGCAGACCTTTAGAAATTGTTAGTGCTTGTGTCAACTATAAAAGATTTTTTAGTAAACCTTCCCCCTCTTACCTAGGAAACATTTCAAATGTTTACATGTTTTTGCATTTAGCCCAAATTAAAGACTTTTCCCAACAAGCTTAGTTAATATAACGACTTGATCTTACACAGTCGACACTATCTCATTTTGTTTTTTAAGCCTCTTGGCACCAATATAGCATATGTTCTGCCAGTTCTGAGCTAATCTCCAGGAAAGCCTTTGTATAACGATTGAAGAAACTGAAACAGATCAGTGCCCAAGATTTTTAAGAGCCTACACGAACATATGTTTTTAATCAACAGTCAATTTATTTTAAAATAGCTATTTCACCAGTTCACCTTCTCCCATTATTCATATAAGCCGTTTTAAAAGAAAAAAGGACACACGACTGGGAACACAGGTTCAAATCAACTTCAGGATCAGACGTTTTTCCGAAGCGTTAGGGATGCCGGGGTCTGAATCCCGTCACCGCGTCCACGGGGTGGCCGCGGGCGTCCAGTGGACATCACACTCTCGACCACTACGCCGCTTGAAGCATTCCCTACGGCTTCAATGGGTTCAAAACTGTCAACTTCCCGTCCCAAACTGTTTCTTACTGTTATTATTAAAACAGCTGTCAGCTGGGCTCCAGTGACCTCTTTGTACAACCGTTTATTCAACGCTTTGGGATCCTCGAGGATGCGTCACGGCGGGTTACCCTCGAACGAGCTCCGAGAGCCCAGCGGCCCGCGGGTCCGCGAGCGCCGGCCCGGCTCACCCGCGCCGCCCTCCCGGCCTCACTCGGTCCCCGCGGCTCAGACTAGGCGCGCCCCCAATCCGCCCCGCCCCGCCCCGCTCTGCTCCGGCGGCGCCCCCGGCCGCGCACACCCGCTCCCCGCCCGCTCGCTCGCACACGCGCCACGGCCCCGCCATGTTCCGGGAGCGGCACGGCCGTCCGCCTGGCCCCCGCCCCCCGGTCCCCGCCCGGCCGCTCCCGCCGCACCCCTGCCCCGGCGCTCCTAGCGGACGGCCCGTCCTGTCAGCGCGGCGGGGCGGGGCCCGTCCTTACCTTGCTCTGGGGAGGGGACGGGAGCGGGCGCGACTGAGGGGCTCCTCCCGGGCTCCGGGGCCGGGGCTCGAAACCGCGCCCCTCCTTCCTCCTCGCCTGTCGCCACGCCCCCCTCTCCCGCACGGACCCCAGGCACGGCCGGCGCGGGAGGGTCTACCCCCGGGACGAAGGCCTCGGCGCCGCCGTCGCTGTCGTGCTCTCCACCACCGCCGCCGCAACCGCCGCGAACGCCGCCGAGGCCGGGCTCGAAAACATCTCCGGTCTCCGCCGTCCCTCACCACAGCCTGCTCGCTCCCAGGACGGCGCCGCCCGGCGATTGGCCGCGGCGCGGGCACGTGACGCGCGGGCACGGGACGGGCAGCGTGAGCGCCCCGCCCCCGGCCCGCCGCCCCTTCCGTCCGCCCGCCCCGCCCGCGGCCCGCCGCTCTAGAGGCGCCGGGAGAAGCTTCCCGAGCTGGGGGCAGGGGTCGGGGCGTACCAAGTGGACGCGGGGCAGCGGGGTCGGCGGGGCGCCGGGCGGAGCCCCGTGTCGCCGTCTCCCCTCCGCCGGCTCCGACCCCAGAAGGCAGGGAGCCAGAGAGTAGCGCAGGCGCCGCCTCTCCTTGTGCAGTGGCCACCACCGTGGCTTGACTGGAAACTTCTGGAAATGGCGGCGGCGACGAGGACGAAGAGGCTCTGTCTACGTAGGGTATTCACATGTTATTTTTTGCGGGGACGGGCGGACGAGTTTGCCAGCTGGGACACGGGAGACCGACGCTGCACCCCTGGCTGGAGGCGGAGGCGGAGGCGGGTGTCCGCCCGGCCCGCGGCGCGCGGTGGGCCCGGGGCGTCCGGAGAGGCGGGCACCCGCTTCCGCGCACTGCGCCTGCGCGCCGGCTGGCCGCACCTGCGGGAGCCTGGGGACCCGCAGGGCCGCGACGCGCCCTCACCTGCGCCAGGTGGGTCCGGGCCCGTCCCGAAAGCACGTCCACGTGCACCTACCCCCGGGTCCGCACGCACTCTGCAGTACGCCCTCCCCCAGTCACACCTTCGGATAACCTTTTAAGACAAATTTTGGTGCATTTTCCCCCAACCGCTCGGGGCACTGCCAGCTGGAGGACTGCGCAGAGGAAAAGTCACCGCCTCGGCAGCCCCGCTGCTGGCAGTCTGACTTCCTCTGGAGGTTAATCCGCGACAGTCTGTACTTGCCCTTATTTAACCACCGAAGGGATTACATAATCGGAAGGAAACCATTTTATTCTGAGTTGCTTCTGGTGGCTTTTTATTTACAAAGAGGTTAATCCGCGACAATTTGTGCATGCCTTTATCTAACCATCAGAGAGCCCTCATCGTTGTGGCCTCTAAACTAACAGCACGGGTTTGTGACTTAGTGAAGTTAAGAGTTTGTCATTAATCAGCAGATGAGATATTTCAGACTTGACAGAGAAAGCTACATCCCAACATTTAACTGTATAAAGCATAAACTTGCATTAAAGATCACTATTTTTTTCCTTCCCTACATTTCTCCCATCTTTAAATACATCAGGTTCAATATGAATAGTAAGAGTGCACCTTGTGGCTAGAAGTGGAACACTGTTACATTTAATCTGGATATTTAAGGCATGAAGTAACAAATCCACTAAAAATTTATAACCAACTCGTCTGACTTCTCAAGTGGTTGAGTTGGTTCTCATTTAACTCGCTGTAATGACAATAACAATAGCTATTTCTACAGCAGTACAAGCCTCAGTTAAAAATTGAAAGCAAATCTTGAATTTGCTGAAATCAGTTAACCATAATTTATGGCAATAACTATATGCACAGCCTTGTTACTTAAAAATCAGATTACATGGGTAATTGTGATCCAAGGCATTGTACTGATTACTACTGAATAGGACACTATCTGTACAAAGTTCATTGTAGAATTATTCAAGTTGCAAAAAATTTTTAATTTAAACTTAAGATTATATGTGACACATTGTAAATCAGCCACAATTTGTTACTGGAAAGGTTCAAATGAAACTTGGGAAGAGGAGCTAATTTTCCTATTTAATGTTTAACTAGAAGTACAAATCAAGAAGGTAATTCTTATTAGGATAGAGGCCTGAAAAGAAGCTGGAGCTAGTTGACTATGTTGCTAAGGCTCTTCATTGTAGAACCCTGTCTTTCATTAGCTCAAATCTCTTCAGCAAGTGGGCAAAATGTTTTTTTAATAGCACCAGGAGGTCAAGGATCCCAAGCAATAAAACATCATTCTTAGCCAAGGTTAAGTTTTATTACACTTATTTAGGATTATTACTAGCAGACACTTAAAATGTGTGTATGTGGTATGTGAGATAAAAGCCACCTGCAAAATTTACCTTCTTTCCAACTTAACTTCTTACCGTTAAGAATCAACTACTGTTATGTTTCCTACATGAAGTCCAGGTAGATCATTCAAAAAATCCTGCCATATTTTGGGAAGGTGAATTAATAAAAATACAATCTCAGTTATGGCTTACCATATTGACAGTCTATGCAGATGTAATGCTTGGGCAGTGAATACCCATGATTGTCACTTGCTGTAGGATTTACTAGGGCAGTAGCTCCATCCAGTTACAGCAAGTACTTCTGAGGAACTGGTAGCCTTCCCTAGCAATATTCAGTAGCCACTCCAAAAACCACCAAAAAAGCCAGGCATGAGTTTTTGCCCAGTAGGAGGAATGACAATTTGAATTATTTGTTGGTTTATTTTTGTAATATGAACATTTCCTCCCTAAATATCTTTTTTAAAAAAACAGCATAGAGCTAGGAACTGAGAAGAGGAAATGAGGGAGCAAATGGTGTTAGACACATCAGCAACGCCAGCTTCTCTTTATTGGTTTGAGAAGCAGGCTAGGCTATAGCTGTCATCTCTAGCAACTGAAAACTGGCAAGGAGTTTTGAATCAGTGTGTTCATATATTTTTGGAACCATGTTGGATTACTATAATGAAATTTTACCTGCCAGATGTTTTTAAAAGCCTATCTGTAATTATTAAAAACCAGTGCTCTTGTGTAAAAAATTGGTACAATTTTCAAGAAAAATGGGCAAAAAAATTACGAAAGATTCAATGCAAAATCCTAATACATACTACTGTAGTGCACTGTACGTGATGATCTAAAAGTATGTTTTGACAGTGGTATAAAATTATGCCTATAAAGACTTAAAACAAATTTTCTGCTTCTAAAATAGATCATAACCAATATCCTTAATACATAACTTGTTTTTTCAGCCAGTATTTGAAACTTTCCCATTCCTAACTTTCATCTACTTGGGAAAAAAAAAGTCAAGAATGTAAGACATTTTTTACAATAGTAACTTTAAAGGAATTTAAAGTTATTTAAATTTTTCATAATTTTTAATTTTTTCATATGTATTTTGTCATAATTTCAAATAAAAGTTTAACAGCTAACAAAGGGAAGATAGACTATTTTTTTTTAAAGAGATAAAAATAATAATAAAGCATTCCACTGCCTGTGGGAAGATGGTCTGAGGGCTCCAGGGCAGAAGTGAGCATTTTCACTGTGTTATTTTTTTGTGCCTCTTGAAAAATTACTTATGCTGTTACCTTCTTAGGTGAAAAATGAAAACTAATTCTTAAAGACAGTCTTAAAAAATAAAATGTGTGTTCATATTTTTAAGCATCATATACTAGTCTGTCATAAGATTAAGGCCAACCAGTGACTTTGAGAAATCCTGAAACAGTTGAATTATTTAGATTTACCCCTGAATTAAAGCTGGCTATTAATTTTTTATGCCAGCTTGCAAAACTCATAGCTAGTTTCCTGAACTGGATGTTATACACAAAGGGTTTTATTCTTCTAAGTTGTAGTATGCATTCAGTTTCTAAGCTTGTAATATGCATTCAACGGAGGAGCATATTTCCCATTCCCACTGAACTTTCAAACTCAAGTTATACTTCCAGTTTCTTCCCCTAGTTAGTTTTTGTGTACCTGCAGTGTCAGAAGAGTGAAGGATAATGTCAAAGTGTTTTGCACCTTCCTTCTTTAAAAATGATAAACAGTACATCTAAAGACAACTACCTTATCCTTGTTACACCTACAGTCTGCTTGACATAGCACTTACCAGTTGAAATTACAGTAACAACTGTGTGCCACGATACTAACAAGGTTTATAGAGAGATCATATTAAGATTTGGCTATGGCTAAAGATGGGAGAGCAAAATATACTTGAAATTTGACAGAATTTTTATTTCATAGTACCCTAATATTGATAAGTGAACAGGCAGTTAAAAATGATGCTCTGAAGTTCTGACATGATACTTAACAGCTGTAAGTTGCTAGGTTACAAGCAAGGTGTACACGGATGGAAATGAACAAGTAATATAAAAAGTTAAGGTAGATAGGAGATTCATATTTTATTTCCCCACTGACATATTTACAGCTGGATATAAATTAAAGACCTGCTTGCACACCAAACCCAGGTCCTTTCGGTGGTTCAGTCAAAGAGGTAAGACCTCCAGCTGGCTCACAGGAGAAGCGTCCACTCCTGAAAGAAAAGTAACATTAAGCTGACTGCTAATGATTACCATTTATAATTGTTACCTTACAACAGCCCAGATAAGAAACTATTTCTCTCCCAAGAACTAGCACGGACTATTTAATCCAAACATCATAACTGCTGCAAGATTTTCACTTCCTAAATATGAAAACTGATATATAAAAATATGAAATATGAAAAATAAAAAAATAATACTAATACTAGTTCTCACTCAGCAGTGAACATATATCAGTGGCTCATTAAATCTTTACAACAATGCCAAGAGACAAGGGACACTGGCCAGTGTCTTACAGACACAGAAACCAAGGCTGGGGTGAGTCAGCGTCTACGCAGAGATGAGCACTAAGAACTCAACCCCAGAGGACATTTTTAAAAATCATGTTTTAATAAACTAGAGCACTACATTTATTTATATTTGAATTTTATTTTGACTGAGATCCATTGTCATAGGGAATATATACTTAATATGCTATATTTGGAAACAGAAACTGAATTCTTTGAGAGATTTGAGGGCTTGGGAGGAGGTCCCTTAGAGGCAGTGAAGATGAAATTAATTTGTATTGATGTTTTTAAAGGCTAAATTATTAGTGGTTTTCAACAGCAGGCTCCAGATCAGCAGGTGCCACAAAGAAAACATGAACAGGTCCTCCTACAGTTCTATGAAGAGAGGCAGCAAGAGGTAGACGAACCTGTCCGGTTTTCACCCCCACACATACTTTCCCAAGTGATCTTTCAGGCTCAACCTCTGTCCTGTCTGACCTCTGCTGCTAGAGCCTGGCTCAGCACCTACTCCTGTTTCCCCCTCCTATTCCCTGGCTTTGTTCATTTACCTTGTTCCTGCCACAGATTTCAGCTGAAGAACTTACTCAATTAAATCTTTTTATTCCCTCTGGCTTTGCCCTTCACATTCTGTCATCAATCTTACAAGTCTATTTTTAGAGCCCTAGAAAATCATTTGTTGAGGGGACAGGAAAATGACACCACATAATCATTTATAAGCTCTTTCAAGCTACTATATTACATAATGCAAGTAACTAGTGTAGTATAATAAAGAATACATACAAAGTCAGAAATCAGTTAATATACCTACATTACAGGTTTACTATGAAAACCAAATACAAAAGCAGTCACTATACACTATAGTATAGTCGCTATACTATATCTAATGGATATCCGTTAGAGCCTAAAATTAAAGTTGCAGGGTAAGTGGCAAAATGATGTAAAAACAGTATTTCGCTTTGTAATTTTTTTTTAATGTTAACTGGTAGCAACCCACTCTAGTATTCTTGCCTGGAGAATTCCATGGACAGAAGAGGAATCTGATGGGCTACAGTCCATGGGGTGGTAAAGAGTCGGACACAACTGAGCAGGTACACTTGCTGTTCTTGACTACCAGTAAAATAATAAAATTAACTTTGAAGGACCTCTCTTTCTTCTCCTTTACTATGTTCCTTCTTGTGGAAGATGTTTTCTGTACCCCATAGAATTCTGTAAAATTTAAAATATCTTTTAAAAACTAAATATGAAGAATTCAAGTTGGGTTTAAAATTAGTTTCAGATAATCCATACTAAAAAACAACCTCTATTCATCAATAATTTGGAAGCAGGATTAGATGTTATGTTCAGTACTTTAAAAACAATCCCTAGCACACAAATATTTATAAATGTAAAGGAATTTTGTATTACTGTCAGTTTAGCATTTTCTTTCTAGCCATCATTTACCAAAATAAAAGCAGCTCTGAACCAGAGACAGTCCTCTTTACCAGTTCTGGCCAGAGTATACGTGACAGCAGGGCTCAAAGTCAGTTACCACAGAACCAGTTTCACAACTAGCACCTCTGTCAAATATTAAAGGCAAAGCACTTTATTATAAAAATACTAATAAGAAGTAGCCAGCTTTGGATAATTTAAAGAATAACTATAGTTGTATTTTGGTTACTGCCATTTTATTCACTTAAAATTTTTTGGCTGCGCCACGTGGCATGTGCAATCTTGTTCCCACCCACCGTGTCCCCTGCAGTGCAAGTGCGGAGTCCTAACCATTGGGCAGCCGGGGAATTCCCTATCTCAACTGTTTAAATAAGAGGTAATAAGAAGGAAGTAAAAATAGGTTTCTCAGCCAGTAATTCTAAAGTCTTTGGCTCAAATCTGGAACAATGTCAAAAACTCCCACTGAGGAACTATTTAAAATTACTGATAAGCAACATCCCTATTATTAGATGTTGAAAATGCCTAACGTGGTCAAATACAATGTTACAGTACCCCCGGATTAAAACCAAACTCTAATTCGGCCTCTGGCAAGCTCATCCAGGAGCTTCCCTGGTGGCTCAGACTGTAAAGGACCTGCCTACAGTGCAGGAGACCCAGGTTCAGTCTTGGACAGAGGAGTCTGGTGGGCTACAGGCCCTGGGACTGTAGCAAAGAGCTGGACACAACTGAGCAACTAACACACACAATCTCATCCAGACTTATAACTTTAAATGCCATTTATTAATAACTAACAAACTCCCAGTGTGTATTTCCAGCCCTAATGTATTGCCTAAATTCCAAGCTTGTATCTACCTTTCAGCCACTCTACCATGAATGTCTAAGTAGGCATGTCAAACATGCTAAGTGGCACATCCAAAACAAAGTGACTTTTCTTCCCCAAATTTGCCCTACCTCAAATCTTCTTTAATGGAATCAGAGGTACTCATCCTAAAAAGTTAGAAAGCACTCATAATTCCTCTGTCCCACAACATCCATTAAATTTTAAACTATTCTTTACACAGCAACTAGGACGATAGTTTTAACAAGATCACGCATATCATTCCCTACTGAAAACACTCAACAGTTTTTTATACTGAGGATTCAATCCAAACTGCTTACCTGGGTCTCTACCTCTCTGACCTCTTCTACCCCTCTCCCTCATCACCTCACTTCAGCCATAATGTCGTCTTACCTTTCCCCCAGGACCTTAATACATCTTCTTTCCCCTCTAGAACATTGTTCCTCCAGATTTTTACATGATTCCTTTGGGCTTATTCAGGTCATTGACTAACCACCTTAGAAAGGCCTCCTCTGACTAAATTTACCTCCATTCTCCCAGCATTTATTACTCAGATATTACACCAGTTAAAGGACTTTCCTGGTGGCTCAGATAGTAAAGCGTCTGCCTATAATGTGGGACTCCCGGATTCAATCCCTGGGTTGGGGAGATCCCCTGGAGAAGGGAATGGCAACCCACTCCAGTATTCTTGCCTGGAGAAGCCCATGGACAGAGGAGCCTGGTGAGTCCATGGGGTCACAAAGAGTCGGACACGATTGAGCAACTATTACTTTTCACTTTACACCAGTTGTCTCCATCACTAGAATATAAAATATATGACAACTTTACCTTGTTCATAATTTGCACACACAACCTAAGATAGTGACTCACAAACAGCACGTATCCAGAAATATTTGTGAAACAAATGAATGCTGAGGGAATGCAATAAAGTAGACAAAGCAAGAGAAATATTGTAATGTGAAATGACAAAAGGTTTCACTTCAGTAGCCGCCATAATGGAGACTGATTCTTCAAAGTGGAAATATTTTATTCCTAAAAATATTTTCAGTGTAGCTCAAGAAAGTGAGGAACTAGGAAGAGAATGCCAAGCCTCTTTTAAGTAAATTCATTTCAAGTGTTGAAAGAAGAGTATGTTTTTTAGGGGCCAGCCTGCCTTTGCTAAACTTAAGTTATCCTGAACTGACCTCTTTTTCTCATTGTATGTTAGTTGTTTAGTCATGTCCAACTCTTTGCGACCCCATGAACTATAGCCCACCAGGATCCTCTGTCATGGGATTCTCCAGGCAAGAATACTGGAGTGAGTTGCCATTCCCTTCTCCAGGGGATCCTTCCACCTAGGGATCAAACCCGGGTCTTCTGCATTGCAGGCAGATTAACATTTGAGCCACAAGCAAAGTCCCTTTTTCTTACTAGGTAGGGTCAGTAGTCAGAACACTGAGGGAGTACTTCCAGCAGACCACAAAACCATGCATACCCTCTTGACCTAGTAATTCAACCTCAGAGAATTGTTGTTTACAACAAAAAGTAGGAAAATATATTTTAATACAATGTATAAAGGTCACATCATAGTTCTCTCAATACATCAGAATACTATATGGCCTTTAAAACCTACAAATATGTTGAGACAAGGAAAACTTTATGACATAAGCAGAAAAAAAATACAAAGGGAATATGACAAAACTATGCAAACACTGCTAGTATTGAGAGAATTTTAAGTAATGTGAACACTTAGATAAGGAATAGGAGTTTGTTTGGAAGCAAAAGCTCAGGGTGAAACCAGAAAGGAATAATTAGAATAATACAACCTGGATAAACAGTGTTTAAGTTGAAAAAGATCTAGGTATTCTAACTGATTGTAAGCACAATGTAATGGTATAATGATGTGAAGTAAGAATTGATGTAATTAGGCTGCATTATTATAAGCATGACGTCTGGAATAAAGATGACAGTCCCACAGTGTTCTACATGCTGAGTATGTATGTCAAATACTGTGATTAGTCCAAGTATCACATTAAGAAAGTCATCAGCCAACTAGAAGACATACAAAGGAGGAAGACCAAAACTATGCCATGTAAGGAAAAACAATGAAACAACTGTGGATATTAAATCTGAGAAAAGATATGAGGAAGATGATATAGCTGTTTTGAGTAACTAGAGAGCTGTCATTTGGAAGAGGTCTAAAAATTATCTTGTGTTTGTTCAAAGGAGATAATCTTGGGACCTCTACGTGGAAGAGAAGAAGACAGACATTGAGTCAAATTCTGGCAGCATGAACTTTTAAACAACGAAATAGATTTCTATTTGTAGTAAATTTGCCTTCCTTATAAATATCCAGGTATATACCAGATGATTATCTGACAGGGTTTTAGAGAGGGTAAAAAAATCATTTCTTTAAATGACAAGTTGGTTTAGACAGTATTCAAGGCTCCTGAAAACTCCCATAGACTTACAGTATAAAATTTTTTTAATTAAGTTTACATGAAAGACTAACTTAGGTTAAGCCATTAAAATTTACTAAAAAGAAACTGAAAAAGTACCTTGGCCCAGGTTTGGGGATTTTGCCAGCCTTGAGTTCATCAATAATTTCTTCAATATCTTTAGGTGTCAGATCCTCCTAGAAAAAAATGTAAAACAGTCATATTAAAATTACATCCTACTACTGAAATCAAGTGTGAATCCCTAGGTATCAGTTTATTATTGTCTGTCCCAGCTCACGAGTTACTTACCAAGGCAGCACACCTGAGTAATTCCTGGACATAGCCTGTCCTGCCAAATGCAATCGCAGTAGGAGCTGCAGCTGAAGGGGCAGCACAGAGCAGTGCTCTGAGGGAGACAGTTCTGCATTTGAACTCAAGTTCCAGCACTTACTAGCCAGCAATCTTAGAGAAATTACTCAGCTTCCCCAAATTTGTTTCTTCATTTCTCAACTGACTTCAGAGTGTTTTGAGGTTTAAAAGCAAAAATACATAAAATAGAACATGGCCATGCACATGCTCAACAAATGCTATGTCCCTGAAGAATCGGTGAGAGGCACTGGCAGTCATAAACAGTACATGCCTTGTATCTATTGCTAAGCTAAAGACCTAATACTCTAGTGATATCTTCTTGATTTCCCAGGTGAAATTTAACCTGTTTCAAACTTCACTTAATTTTCCAAGGGAAAAGTAATTTTGGACACATTTATTTTAAAAATTCTGACCCTCCAATCCCCATTTCAACCAGAGCAGATTTGTATTTTGTACACTGTGCACCTGTGTAAAATTCTGACCTCGAGAAAGGATTCTGTTATTTAAAATAATAAATACAATTAAAACACACAGACACACTCCTAACCCTGGCTGCGATAGTTTTAGTCAAAATAGAAGGGGGCAAGATTAAGAGGAAAATGCCTAAAGTACATCATATCCCCTCTACCCCTCAAAACTATTAAGTCCTTAAGATGTTCTGGCCTCTGGTTCTAGACTAGAGAATGACAGTGCCACACAGTGTCCTCAGAGCCTTGCCATACAGAAGCCCTTTAACAGATGATGGTAAACATTTATAGAAACAAAAACAGCTTAGAGTTCAAAAGATGCTCAGAACCTCAAAACTAGAAGGAATCTTTAAACTCATCTAGTGATTTTTATCCCCCGCAATTCTTTATTATGAAAATTTGAAAAGTATACATGAATAATCATGAATGAAAGTTGCTCATTTGTGTCCAACTCTTTGCAACCCTGTACAGTCATGGAATTCTCTAGGCCAGAATACTGGGGTGGGTAGCCTTTCCTTTTTCCAGGGGATCTTCCCAACCCAGGGATCAAACCCAGGTCTCCCGCATTGCAGGCGGATTCTTTACCAGCTGAATCACCAGCGAGGCTCACATGAATAATCATATTTCTTGTCATATCTGAATTATGTACAACACAGCTTCTGGTTTTGTGTTTGTACTGTACCATTTAAAAGCAAGCTACAGACATCATGACACTTCACCTTAATAACCACAGGAGGCATCTCCGAAGAACATTTTTTTTTTTGCCATGCCACATGACTTGTGGGATCTTGGTTCCCTGACCAGGGATTGTACTTGGGCCACAGCAGTAAAAACGTGGAGCTTTAACCACTGGACTACCATGGAACTCACAGAATATTTTTAAATGTTCTTAAATAATACAATGCCATTATCACACCCAATTAACAATAATAGTTCCTTAATAAAATCAAATGTCAAGACCATATTCAAATCTAACCATCCTCAAAATGAATTTTATATTTTTTCCCTAATCGGTAGCCATTCAAAGTTTATGTGACTATTTCATTTTATCCACCGGTCAACTGAGATCCATAAAAGTTAACTGCCTTACCAAAGACCATACTACGACTAACTGAAAGAAGCGCTTACGTAAACCCATAGTCTACTATATTTAAACTTACAGTGCTTCATACAAAGCCTTGACTGTCTAATTCCTGCTTAAATTAAGATCCTCCTGATTATGAGTAAACAGCAGAAATGTAGGAAAGGGAAAGATATTGCCATATTTTTAAAAGGTTGTTTTTTTTTAAAGGTTTTTTTTTAACATATGAGAAAGAGAGTGGGTAATAAATTTGAATCACCATCATTCAAATGAAGAAAATCCCTATAGGTAACAGAAGTATCCTAGAAATGTAAAATGCCAAAGAAGTCCAATTTCATTTTCATTTAAAATAAAATCATAGATTTCCATTTCAGGCATTATGACACACTAGCTATCCTGACTGAATGTCCTGTTGTAACAACTATAAATTCTGGATAAAATAAAAACTTCAAAATTTTATTAAGACATTGACAAGGAAAAAATACTCAAGAGATCCAAAACTCAATGAAAACTTAGGGAGACAAGTGGAACAGCAAACAAACTTGGCTTCAGGATGCCACAGCTTATAGGGGCAAGGGACAAAGTCGCAGGCACAGGAGGGCATCCAAACCACAAACTGCAGACACCCGAAGGCTATATTCTCAATATAAAGGAAACCAGAAATTAAAACTGCCTCTCAAAACACCTGCTAGTCTGGAAACTGACACTTCAGGGGAAGAAGAGGATATAAGGAGAGGGGATTTCTTTTGGGTCAGTAGTATTTCCAAGAGCAAGAGAGAAGCAACATCAACTTCTTCTGGAATAATCTACCTTCAACATGGGCCTAAAAGAATTTCCATAAAGAAACTTCTAAGAGTTATGAGCTAACAAGATATTATGAATGAAAACCACGATATAATTAGGGTAGCAAGCAATTAAAAAAGATAACTAGAAAACGCCACACACCTGGATATTAACACTTCTAAAAAAATAGGTAAAAGAAGTAAAATTGCGAAATTTAAAAATATTTAGAACTAAATGATAAAAATATTACTTATCAAAACTTGTGAGATCCAGCTAAAGCAGTTTTTAGAGAAAGGTATGATACCATCTCTGTAAAATTTTTAAAACATACAACACAGTATGACTACCATGCCTGGATACATATATTTTGAAAGTTTAAAAAACAGATACAGGAAGAATACACACTAAATTTATGATAGTGGTTAGCTCTGGGAATGAAAAGGAACAGGATTTTGAATGGAGGTAGAGGAGGTTCACCCTCAGGTATAGCTTATTTCTATGTAATGGCAAACCACTCCAGTATTCTTACCTGGAGAATCCCATGGACAGAGGAGCCTGGAGGGTTATAGTCCATGGGGTTGCAGAGTCGAACATGACTGAAGAGACTAAGCACAGTACATGTATAATAACAATGATAAACATTATAATACCTGAAGCAAGTGTGTTAAAATGTTATCTATTAAGCTGTGGTGGTGATTTTTTGTATTTAAGTTTTTGCTATTTAAAAGTTTTTTAAATGTATCCTGGAGTTAAATGCAAAAATGTTTAATGATAACTTTTTTTTGGATGACAATTTTTGAAAAATGTTCTGAAGGACAATAATGTGGAAGCTAAAACTGACGTATTTTTATTAATAATTATTTGATTTTTAATAAACTTTGAAACCACGAAAAAAAACCTTCTAGATATTTATACCAACAAGCAACCAAGTATTTTAAATATAATGTCATACAAATTTAATTTACATTAAGTAAATACTCACATAGTAGTTGTCATTTATTTGAACCATTGGTGCATTTACACAGGCCCCTAAACATTCCACTTCTATAAGAGTGAAAAGCTTGTCAGGTGTAGTCTCTCCAACCTTTATCCCTAGAAGTATAAATAAGCACTGTAAGGCTCAGATAATATTTTAATTGCAACATAGTTTAAGGAAAAAAAACAAAACCAACCCATTACAGAGGCATGTAAAAAGTATTTAAGAGCACTGAATTTCTTAAACAAACTCTATAGTTTTTATAGAACATTCAAGGATTTCTTAAGTGGACCTGTTCCTTTTCAAACAGTCAAATTTCAAGGGCCTCATCTCGTGTTTGTTGTTACGTAACAGTGTATCAGACCATATAAATTTGATCATTGATAATTAACCTACTATTGTAGCTATACAATCAGACTGGGGAAGACTCAGAAAACAGTTAATGTCAAAAATCATTAAGAATGTGAGGATAGTAAGTACTCTCAAATCTTTAGGGAAGGCATTTTTTTTTAAATTTATTTTTGTTTTTTTTTTCCATTTATTTTTATTAGTTGGAAGCTAATTACTTTTTAAAATATTGTAGTGGTTTTTGCCATACATTGACATGAATCAGCCATGGATTTACATGTGTTCCCCATCCTGAACCCCCCTTCCACCTCCCTCCACATCCGATCCCTCTGGGTCATCCCAGTGCACCAGCCCTAAGCACTTGTCTCAGCATCCAACCTGGACTGGTGATCTGTTTCACACTTGATAATATACATGTTTCGATGATGTTCTCTCAGATCATCCCACCCTCGCCTTCTTAGGGAAGGCATTTTGGTAAAATCTGACCCAGCAGAAACAACCTTCATGCACAGTTGGACAAGTATGCAGAAAGATGCATACATGAAAGTAACTGCAGCATAATTTAACTTATATAGAAAAATGAGGCAGACATACATATTATTATAGTCAAAATCAAGTGCAAAAAAGCAAACAGACATATTACAGGTATGTATTCAACAATAAAAATAATTAAAACATTAACTCTAAAACTGATATACCCAACTGTCATCACAAATTTGTACCTCAGAGGTAGGGGGATGGAATTTTAAGTGGACTTCAGCCTCTGTTTTATATACTTTAATACTGTCCAGCTATTTTTACAACATTCAAGTACTTTATATTCAATAACAAGAAGATTAAGAGACACCTCCTTTTACTTCATTTGGTATGTTTAGTGATAAATGTGACAATGGCAGTTTGCCCCTGTAATAACATCTTCTTCCACACTTCCCTTCCTGAAGCATTCTTCCTGTTCAAATCTTATTTGTTTGAAGTCTTGTTTGGAAGAATAACAGTCACTTCATGTGCCACATGCTATCACATAATGAGTGAAACTTACTTTTCTAAACAACAAAAACTTTAAAATTTCAAGAAGCTTTTATTTATTTGTTTTAGTTCTACCAGTTTATTGCTACCAACCCATCTCCCTCCACCGTCGTGCCAGACTCCTCTGTCCATGGATTTTTCCAGGCAAGAATACTGGAGTGGGTTGCCATTTCCTTCTCCTCAAGAAGCTTTTAAAACATACTCAATGATTAGGAAAGAAAACATGAAAACTCAGCTTTGAGAATGAGAACTAAAGAATACAGAATAGGAAGAAATAATGGTGAGCAAACACAGTAAGAAAAATTAACTCATGAAGTACAGATCCAGTATGACAGTAAAAGTTGGAAAATTTAGGTAGAAAGAGGTCACATTTCAAAAGACAAATCTATTTTTCATAAACATTATAAATATACTGTGTCCCATACCAAGTTTTTTCTGAATGGCTTCCAGTATGCTGTCTGAGTTTCGGAGCATGCAAGGCGTAGTAGTGCAGACCTGAATGTGATACTTTCCAACAGGCTTTCGATTATACATTGTATAAAAAGTTGCTACTTCATACACTCTCATTGGAGGTACTTGTAAAATTTCTGCAACCTAAAATATTTTAATAATATGGTTACAATGTTTATTGAGCTTTAGGTAGGTCATAAAAAACATTAATTTCAAAAATGCTTCAATTTGGTAAAAACCAAAAAAGTTCTTCAATACAGAAACTACATCTGTATTTGATATCTGTGAGGCATAAGTCCTTCAATTTTGACACTTAAAAATCACACATATATCCAGGTCTTGACATGAAAAAAGGACTCGTTAAATGGCATTTCAAATGACAAATATATTAAACTTTCTCTTATCAGGGATTCTAAAGGAAATATATTCTCAAAAGACATCTAACCCTGGGCTCACTCCTGCAGTATTAAAGTAGCTATGCTAAATCTAATTCTGTGGTACTAAATCAGGCTTACATCTCTGAACCTGGGGAACTCCCTCAAAATACACAAGCTGGTGTCCAATTAATGGGCTAATTGTAGGGCCCTGGTGTCTAACTAAAATAGTTCTCCTGAGCTGCTGTTGTGCACCTCCCTATGCCTTAGTGATGGTTAAGTAACAATGCATGGGCCTCTGGATATTGTTTTTGTTGTAAGGTTGGGCTTTTCTTGGAGGGGGAGGGGCAGTAACACTAAAAGTCTCAAAGTGGAAAGAATTTTGATTCTACTCTCTCTATGCCGTTTCTTCCTCTCATACATACACATCCAATTCTACACAGGATAGGACAATATTTTTTAAATGTTTTCACATTTATTTTGCTCTGCTAAGCCTGACACTCAGCAAGACTTTCAACAAGCTTACCATTATCACAAACATAAATTTTTCAAAAAAAAGTTATTTATGATTAGAAACGCACCTAAATCATCACTGAGGAAGTTGGCTGTTATAAAAATATGAGGAATTTAGAAACACCCCCAAACATTTATTTATTGAAATAAAAAAGCACCTATGTTTACTAAGTATATCACTAACCAACCTGCTTTATAACATTTTCCATAATCAAAACAAACAACAAGGGTCCACAACACTGTTAGAGTACTGTGCCAAGTACATAAGAGATCTATGAACTCTATCTAAAATTTGCATCCAGGATTCCATGAGATAAACTGAGGACATTCCTAGACTCTAAGAAAGACTCTAAGACATTCCCCTTGTCACAATGAGAAAGTGACAAGGGGAATGAAGCACAGCAGAATCTCTGCAGAAGTCAGTCAAATACAAACTGCACAGAATTAGAGATGAGTCAGCCCCAGCTCTACAACTTAGAAATAATATAATAATTGGAAGAGCTTTGTCTACTCCAGAATCATCACTGCAGATGAGCAAGTCCAGAAAAAAATCAGATCTCTGAGCTCAAAGTAAAATATATTTTCCATTATATCAACACTGGCTTATTAGCCATGTGAGTCTCACAAGAATCAAATAATATATGACTTTGTATGACACTCATAAATACACTATAACATAATACCATACAAATGTAGTTACATTAAAAGGATATGAATAAACTTGAAATCTGGATTACTGCTGAAAACACTATTAGGAAAAAACAAGTCCTAAAATATATGTGAATATACTAACTGTATTTAAATGGGTCATTCAAAAGATTTCCCTAGGTTGTTGATTCCAAGCTGCCATAACCAAACGTCACAAATACCATGTATTACAAGGATTTTAATTAAAGCCTGGGGCCAAAAATGCAAAGTAATAAAAAGATTCACATTAGTTGTGAGCAGATCTTTTTCTCTGCAATTCTAGTATTTAAACAGTACATTCCTTTTCAGAATATCTTGACAGCAAATTATACATATTTGGGATCTTTTCTCCCTCTCAAAGACAGGAAAAAAGCTTCTTTCACTCTAATGCCCTTACTATTTCTTGCAAGGATAAAAATCTCCACCCTTTCAGTTTTCTGCATTATTAAGGGAACCAATAGAAACATAAATATAATTTAGGGTATGAGATATATAAATGATTTGTTGTTGTTGTTCAGTTGCTAAGTCATGTCCAACTCTTTGAAACCCCATGAACTACAGCACACCAGGCCTCTTTGTCCCTTACTATCTCCCAGAGTTTACCCAATCCGGGAGAACTTCAAATTCCTGGATTATGACATTAATGACAGTCAGAGAAATTTCCACATAAGGAAGTTACTATATACAACCTCTCCTCTTTTTGAACTAACACAAAAATGAAGTACCTTGTTCATAGCAGAGATGGGCAGCCATCCATTCTGTCTCTGGGCTAAATCCAGAACTGGAAGCACAGCTGCTGCTTTATGCCCTTCCGGGTAGTTTTTCACAATGGCCTCTATCCTCTGTATCAGAGAAAAAGCACTTGTTTTTATATATCTGGAAGATACTAAATATTCTGTAAGTTAATCATAATGTTAATTCAATCATACCTTATAGTTTTCTGGTGTGAAATCAAATGGAGTTTCTGGGTTATTCTCAGGAGTATCTCTGTGCTACACAAAAGGAAAAAAATGTTTCTCAAAATTATCAACATTTCCTGAAAAGTGTGAACAACTTTGTACCTTACTACTACTGATCATTTAATTTCTTCACTTTGATTCAAACATGATATATGTCAATCTATCCTTGCTTCAAAAGCAATGGCTAAACTTATTAACTACACATCTGATAAGTACGATTACCAAAATAATATTAGCAGAATTAAACAACTTAGACATTTTCAAAATCACCCTTTGTAAGTTACAAGAAGTAGCCTTAGGATCAAAAACCAAAAAAAGTGTTATGCAACTTGATGAGAGTATACGATCTTCCAATGTAATATAATTACAAAAAAATTCCCGATTATTGGGAAGCCATATGAAATTAAGACACAAAATTTTGAGTGTGACAATATGTACATTTTTCCAAAAGAATGTACCAGATTATCAGAGACCCACTACCTACTCCAAAAGCACCATCTCTTCCCAACACAACAAAAACTAGCCCAGATAGTTTTCCATAACAGAAACTAGCCAACAGCAAGCTTTATTTCTTCTTTATTTCTTCTCCAATAAGGCCCTCTTCAAACAAGAAATGGCATGTCAACAGGAAATCAAATGAGTCACACTGAGATTAAAACTTACATCAATTAATGTTTTGTATATATGGTGAAACAGAACTGAATCCCTTAATGTGTTAACTCTCAAAGTTCTGCTTTTTCAAGGACATGGAAAAGGAAACAAAGTTTCTTTGGATAATCATCTCAAATATTTTCAGACAAAGACAACAGAATACAAAGCAGGACTCTACTTTTAACAGTATGGATAACTCATTTATTAAGATTCAGCCTTAAAATAATTCATTTTCCAAAACTATACCAACTGAATCATCACACAACTCCACCAAACTGCCCTTAAACACTAGACTGATTTGTGAAAAATGTACCTTGTCACAGAAAGGGCATACATATCTTAGTCTTTCTGAATTGGGCAACCAATCAACCTCTACCTGTAGTGAAACCCTGGAAACCAAAAACATGAAGGGCAACTGCCAATGTATTCACTCTATTACTGAAATCCATGAGTTTCAAGCTGGTGTCACTTTGGGATTCCCCAATTTGCAGCCTAAGAATCTTCAGTGAGCCAACATAAATGATCTTGAAAAATCCACAGTATGACAAGAAATCAGGTTAGGGCTCACAGTTATTTCCAAGGAATAATCTAAATTCTTAATCCCAGGGTGGCCCTGGTACCAATTTAACTGGACAGGCAGTGAATTCAATTAGCTATATTTAAACTCCCACAAACTCCCACTCCAGCAAACACCAAAGATGTTGCTCTTTAAGATGTTGCATTTAGCCAAACTTCCAAGTCCTTTCATTCTGAAGAAATCTTAGTAATTACTTACCACAAATAAGGCTCCTCCAGCTCCATTCTGAACAGCTGTCTTATGCAGATTTCTTATATGTTTTCCCTAAAATTTTAAGAAAGTTCAGTAAATCAAATGCCTTATGAAATTTTAAGATTAGTAATTTAACATAATAGAATCAACTTATAAAGTAAGTTGGACTTCCCTCATGGCTCAGCGGTAAAGGATATGGAGATTCAAAGGGAAGGTTACTATCTTGCTTACCACGGTAACACACAATAGTCAAAGGAAGAGCCAGAACCACAAACTAGATCTCGTATGTTCTTTTGCATACAATTGCAGAGCTAATGTACCATTAACTTACTGCTTTTCACTGTCTGAATCAAATTGGATGCCAACCTTCATTCGCTATGGATCTTCATAAACATGTTTTCATTCTGTAAAAATGTATTGAATGTTACCCCCTTTTCAATTCTTCACTACTTTAGAAACTCCAGCCATAAAAGTATTAGTCAGAAAGCTGCTCATAGTTGACCATACTCAATTACTCTGAAAGGAATCCATTTGATTATTCTCCTTGGTTTTTGTGTTTGTTTTTTTTTTCTTTGAGCATGAAGCCAAGTCCCAGTCTATCCCATGATGGACAGCTAAATTCAAAGAGAAAAACTACAGTCTTAATGTCTTAGGCTCCAAAATCACTGTGGACAGTGACTGCAGCCATGAAGTTAAAAGACGCTTGATCCCTGGAAGAAAAGGTACGACAAACCTAGACAGCATATTAAAAAGCAGAGACATCACTGCCAACAAAGGTCTATATAGTCAAAGCTATGGTTTTTCCAGGAGTCATGTACAGATATGAGAGTTGGACCATAGGACAGGCTGAGCACCAAAGAATTGATACTTTTGAACTGCGGTGTTGGAGAAGACGCTTGAGAGTCCCTTGGATAGCAAGGAGATCAAACCAGTCAATCCTAAAGGAAATCAACCCTGAATATTCACTGAAAGGACTGATCCTAAAGCTGAAGTTTCAATACTTCAGCCATCTGATGCAAAGAGCCAACTCACTGGAAAAGTCCCTGATGCTGGGAAAGATTGAGGGCAGGAGGAGAAGGGGGCGACAGGATGAGATGGTTGAATGGCATCACCGACTCAAGAGTCTGAGCAAGCTCCGGGAGATGGTGATGGGCAGGGAAGCCTGGTGTGCTGCAGTCCATGGGGTCACAGAGTTGGACACAACTTAGCGACTGAACCACCACCACCACCACAGGAGAGGGATAGGCAAGTGGGAAACCCACGAAAAGAAAAAGCCAGAGAGAAGCCCCCAGTTTTGGAACTGACTCCAAACAGCCTAACTGAAAGAGCTGAACCAATATGTGAGCCGCTGCCCACAAGGGAGCAAGACTGCAGTTTGAGTCAAGTTAATTGCCTACCTGCAACAATAACTACAACAAAATACTCTTTGGAGGAATTTTAAAAATTCATAACTTCTATGACCATCATTCACAATATCCAGGACACAATCCAAAATTATTCAACACATAACAAAAAAGGAAACAACTCATTTTCAAGAAAAAAAAGACAACCAGTGGAGATTACCAAACAATAATTTCAAAAGGACTACAACAGTGTATAAGGACATAAAAATATCTTCAATGAATGAAGACAGGAATAGAAACCATAAAAAAAGAACCAAATGAAAATTCTAAGACTGAAAACATAATCCATGAAAATGCCACAACCCTTTCACCTTTATGAAACTAATTAGTGGCTTGGCAGTGAGGCAGCATCAGTTGTAAAGTGATGTCAACAATACAGAAAACGCTGGGCAATTTACTTAAGGAAAGATGGAAATAAACCTATTCTGAGTAGCTTTTGCTCCATATTTCATAATTTTTAAGCAATTCTTGACAATCATTCAATAAGATATTACTGCACAGAAACGAAAAATAAAGTTCAAGGAGATTAAAAATTATGGCTCAAAGTCACACAAGTGTCTTCGACTAGACACAGTACTAAATTCTGGATATTTTTTAATCAATGGCAAGTTGAAAAAAGCCTGTGGCTTAAGAAATTGGCAGCTAGCTAATAAAGCAGCAATTATAACAAAATAAGCAATTTCTTTGAAAATGTAAATGATTCCCTTAAAAGTTTCTCTTTTAGGAAAGGAACTTCATTAGTGAGACCTCTTTACTCACATATTTCCTGACTTTTGCTAGGTCATTCTGATATCCCAATATTTGTAAAAGATTAGAAGGGCCTGATTATATAAATTACAGAACATCTTCACAATGGCATATCATGCAGCATTAAAAATGATAGAAATGTTTACTGACCAGAAAAGTTGCTCAAAATGTATAATGGGAAAAAACAGGCTACAAAAACAGTATGAACAATACGATCTAATTTTTAAAACTTCCGTTAAGGTCTTTTCACTGCAGACGTCAAAATGTTCACGTTTTGGTAATTTCCCGTTTGATAAAACGACAGGTGATTTTTATTTTTTTTAACTTAATTCTACTTGCTGTTCCTAATATTACGCTTTTCTTATTTTGTCCTTTCCACCTAGAATACCCTCCCCCCAGTCCATCTGGTCCCACCCCTAATCTATTCCTATTGCTTCTAGGAAAAATGATGCCACCTTCAAACCAAACTGGATGCTCTGTCCGTGAGTATCTCTAACAACGCACAACTGACCCCTGCAGGACACTGGGGGTTAGGGGAGTATCCTAACTGGTTTTGCGAGGTTCTTTTTTTTGGTGGAGCTGGGGGCAAGGGTGGGGGCTGGGGGCGGTCAGTGCTTGCTGGGGTCTCAGTTCCCTGACCAGGGATTGAACCTGGGCCACAGGCAGTGAAAGCGTGGAATCCTAACCACTACGCCACCAGGGAACTTTCTGTGGGACTTCTAAGTAGTAGAATATCCAAACAAAACAGATTCCAAATGAGGTTCCTCCATATACCCTGGTGGCTCAGTCGGTGAAGAATCTGCCTGCAGGGCAGACGACCTAGGTTCGATCCCTGGGACTGAGATCCTCTGGAGAAGGAAATGGCAACCGACTCCAGTATTCCTGCCTGGAGAATGCTATGGATAGGAGCCTGGCTGGCTACAGTCCCTGGGTTTGCAATAAGTCGGACGCGACTGAGCGACTAAATCACCATCTACTCTGGATCCTGCAGTAGTCTAGTATTTACTGTTGAGGAAAAAAAACACGCTTATAAAGTGGACCCGCTTAGTACAAATCTGTTGGGAGGATCAACTGAACCTTTACGTGTACGGTATTTACTACCTCAAATTCCTACTGCGTAAGACTATCAACTCCACAAGAATACGGGATGTCGAAATCCATAGCTATGGGGGAAATAACAGTATCAACCTCATAAATGAGATTTCGAGTGTAAAGAGTTAACAGTGCTTGGCACACGGAAAGCAGTAGCGGAATGTTGTTCCCTATCACTATTATTATCCACATTTTGTCACCTGGAGCCCAGCAGGTAAGAGTGGATCCTCAAGCGTTTATTGAGAAACCAAGTCTGTACACTGGAATATCCGAGGACACCAGGGACAAGCGTAGAGGCCCAAAGTCCGGAGAAGGCGCGGTGCGGCCACCAGGAGAAACCGGGACTCACTTGCGAGCCGCTGGACTCGCCCCACGCGCAAAGCCCCGCCGGCCCCTTCCCCCGGAAACTGGCCCCACCGTCCCAGGGCCCAGCCGGGGACGCCCCGCCGTCCCCCTCGTCATCTCTGGGCGCGTACTGTTCAGTGAGCACGAACGACCGTTTCGCCCGGGGACTCAAGTGTCCTTCCCCGAGTGAGACGTGCTCGTAGGTCACGGGCGTCCGGCCCGACGGCCTCGGGCGCGGAGACACCCCACTTGGCCAACCTCCCCACAGCCACCGGGGGACGCCGGGACGTCCCTCCGCGGAACGGGACGCCCGCGGCCGGGCACGCGGGGGGATCCTGGCGCCGCCCCCCAGCCTCCCGTCCCGGGGAGGCCTCGCTCCGCCGTGGCCAGGTCTCCCCGAAGAGGGTGAAGGCCGCGGTGTCCTTGTCGCCGCCCGGAGCCAGTCACAGGCCCGGGCTCCCGCGTGCCCGCCGCTACAGGAGGCGCGGAGAGAGGCGGGGAGGGCGGCGTCCGCGTTCATTCGAGCCTCCTTACCCAGTGGGCGGCGAGGCCGGCCGCGCGGGCCCGTAGCGCCGCGGAGAGGAACATGGCTGGCCAAACTGCGGGGCTCCGGGCCTCGCCGAACACGGTCCCGAGCGGTCGGCACGCACGGCGTGCGCGCGCCCGAGTCCAGCCCGCGCGCCCAGGGCAGCGGGGGCGCGCGTGGGCTGCTGGGGCCAGTGGGCGGAGACTTCCGGGGCGGCGCGGGGCGAGGCCCGCCGGCGCCCGGAAAGCAGTCGGGCGAGCGGTGCTTGGGCTCCACTCGTTGAAAGAAGTCTCCGGGAGGCTGGCGCTCCGCCGATCCGAGCTTATGGGACGAGTTTCTCTCCTGGAGCCTTAAGAGGATTTAGCTGTCTCTCTTGATTGTACTTCCCTTGTACAGTTGCTCCGTGGTAACCCCTATCAGTCGTGTGTTACACATTGCAGAACTGAAGACAAATGGGCTGCCACTGGGCTCCCGTTCTTCTGCTTTGAGGTGCGAGCCTTCGTGTTTAGGGGGAAATAATACGATAATAATAGAATCTAGACTTGGCTCCGGAGTCGGGGAGAGTGGGAAGTGGAAGGCAAGCTGGACGGCCCAGAGTGACGACTGCCAGGCTACGGTAGTGCTCCCTGCTATTCTCGGTTCTTTGTACGTGTTAGAAATTTTCCATAATAAAACTTTCCATAAAGAAAAAAAGCCACTTCCTCCTTGCTGTTTGTCTGGTCATCTCTGGAAATTCCAGCAAATATGTGCTCGGTAACAGCTGTTCTGTGCCGAGCGAGTTTCCTGCAGTGGAGGGTTTACCCCGCCGCCTGCTTTGCTCCTGAGTCTCGCACCCACTCCCTTCCTTCTGCCCATTTTCTTGGCTGTAATAAACTTGTGAATGATTTCTGAACTTTCACATCAGAACAGGGACTTTTTAAAAACATGTCCTTCATTAATTTTAAAACTCCACAAAATATCCCTTTGCAACACTGTGAGTCATGTTTCACAAATGAGGGAATTCGAGTCACAGAGGGCTGCCAGCCAGTACCTAGGAATAGACACCAAATGCCTTGGTTCCCATTCCTTTGCCTTATCTTTTATATTGGTTTGCGTCTGCTAAATTGGCTTCAGTATTTCCCTTTAAAAGGGAAAAATATTCTGGGCCTCAGTGTTGATTCAAGATGTTTTATTATAGTGTTAGTCTCTCAGTCATGTCGACTCTTCGCAACCACGTGGACTGTAGCCCACCAGGCTCCTCTGTCCATGGGATTCTCCCGGCAAGAATACTGGACTGGATAACGGTTCCCTTCTCCAGGGGATCTTCCTGACCAGGAATTGAACTCGGGTCTCCCAAATTGCAGGCAAGTTTCTTATCATCTGAGCCACCTTATAATAATATTATAACATTACCTAAATATTGATACACCTAACACTATTATACACATAACACTTTTATAGTTCTTACATAACTAAGACCAAAACATATCACAAACACATAGAAACTTATACATGGATGATATTCATTGATAAGGCATGGGTTCTTTATACCTGGAATGCATGCTATTTTACTGGATTCTATGAGGGCCTTCTCTAACCTTCTGATCTGAATTGCCTTCCCTAAATACACCTGCCTCCAATTTCATCACCACATTTACCACCAGGTTATAACCAACATAGGTGGAGAATGCTGCCCTTCTCAACTCATTCGGTTCAACAACCTAAAATGTACCTGTCATAAGAGGAATTCACTATTTGTTGACAATGAAAATCTCATGGTGCAAATATTTGGCCTCTCTGAAGGGGCTGTATGTGTGGTTGGATCCAGGCTTACATGCATGGGTACTGGTGAGAGTGCTTTTCTAATACAAGGAACAGGAAACCTAAGTAAAGTTGATTGAACAGCATTGGGTTCATGATCTCACACAAAAAGAATCCCAGAGGTAGAGCAGTTCCAAGATGAGATAATTCAGTTACTCAAGGAGTCCTTAGAAACTTCCGTCTTTTCATCTTCCATCTTCAGCTGGGTCTCCTATGATGGTCCCAAGATGGCTGCAGCAGTTCCAAAGACCGGATAGAGATGATAAGATTCCGAGGGAGAAAAAGAACTCTTACCTTTTAAGGAAGAGCCCCACATGTTCCTCCAGCAGACGTCTTTGTCTCATGGGCATTCCTGCTACAGTAGTTAAAGGACAGGCTCTGGAATCAGAGCTGGTTGAGGGCTTTGTAGCAGTGTGACTGGGCAAATTATCTCTGTGGGCTTCCATTTAAATGGTACCCTCCTCAAAGCTTTACCCTGGAAATGAGATGGGTTACCAAACGCCTGTAAAAATGAAAGGAAATGAAACACCTGTGAAATGCTTTTAAAAGTACTTAGTTTATAGTAAGCATCAGCAGGGGGTCTTCCACGGTAGAGCGGGCATCTTTGGAGGTGATAATCCGTAGATAGAGTGTATATTTCATTGGCGTCTAGCAGTGAGCAAAGACTTAACAAAATAGGTGTCCCTAATTTCTGTTACTTAGGAGCGAAACCAAAACGTGAAAAGAGTAATGCTTAAAATATGAAAGTTCGGTTAAGAGAATGTCTAGACTGTTAACACTTTTCCAACAATGATATACAAAGTAAAATGCTTTCAGTTCAACATTCAACTGCTGCTAAGTGTGGCACCACTCTTCAGCAGTCCGAAAGATTTGTTAATGGCTAGGGTGATTTTGGCTTATCCTTAACCCAAATAATTCTCAAGTGCAAATGTCAGTATTAATATTTCTCACACCCAGTAATGTGTGTTCATTTCTAAAGCTACCCCACTGCACAATCAACTATTCTTCCCTGAGTTCTTAGGTTAGAATTGTGGGGGCTGTTTGAAAAATCCCTATCCTTCCTTCTACTTTCAAAGTCATGGTTTCTGAACACAGACCCACATGGACATCAGTGATTTCAAATGTTAGTGACCAAATAAATAAATAACAAAAAATAAAAAAACAAATGTTAGTGACCTAACTATGTAGGCATGATTAAAGCTGGCTTGATTACATACATGTGGATTTCATTCCAATCCCAAAGAAAGGCAATATCAAAGAATATTCAAACTACCATACAACTGTGCTCATTTCAAATACTAGCAAAGTAATGCTCAAAATCCTTCAAGCTAGGTTTCAGCAGTAGGTGAACCGAGAACTTCCAAATGTACAAGTTGGATTTAGAAAAGGCAGGGGAACCACAGATCAAATTGCCAACATTCAGTTGGATCATAGAAAAAGCAAGAGAATTCCAGAAAAACATCTATTTCTGCTTCATCAACTATGCTAAAGCCTTTGACAATGTAGATGACAACAAACTGTGCAAAATTCTTAAAGAGATGGGAATACAAGACCACCTTACCTGTCTTCTAAGAAACCTATATGCAGGTCAAGAAGCAACAGTTAGAACTAGACATGGAACCATGGATTGGTTCAAAATTGGGAAAGGAGTACATCAAGGCTGTATATTGTCACCCTGCTCATTTAATTTATATGCAGAGTACATGCAAAACACTGGGCTAGATGAATCACAAGCTGGAATCAAGAATCAGCAACCTTAGATATGCAGATGATACCACCGTTATGGCAGAAAACGAAGAGGAACTAAAGAACCTCTTGATAAAGGTGAAAGAGGAAAGTGAAAAAGCTAGCTTAAAACTCAACATTCAAAAAACTAAGATCATGGCGTCTGGTCCCATCACTTCATGGCAAATACATGGGGAAAAATTGGAAACAGTGACATATTTTATTTTCTTAGGCTCCAAAATCACTGTGAACAGTGACTGCAGCCATGAAATTAAAAGACACTTGCTCCTTGGAAGAAAAGCTATGACAAACCTAGATAGTATATTAAAAAGCAGAGACATTACTTTACCAACAAAGGTCCATGTAGTCAAAGCTATGGTTTTTGCAGTAGTCATGTATGGTTGTGAGAGTAGGACCATAAAGAAAGCTGAGCACCAAAGAATTGATGCTGTTGAACTGTGGTGTTGGGAGAAGACTCTTGAGAGTCTGAGCAACTGAACAATAACATACATGTAATGGACATTATGGCTGCCTGGATAGCGTATATTCCACTATTCTAAGTTAGTACTATTGCCATAAGCCGAGAGAAGTTGGCTCTAACAATAGTGGTCAACCCTTTAAGAATACATGTGTTTTGGGGTGGAAGATGGGGCACTGGGAGTCAGGAGATCTAGAATAAAGTTGAGAGGAAATGACCAACTGTGAGAACTTTGGCTCTGCCAATCCTATGCTTTCTTCTTCAACTGAAGCATCACAAACAGCAAACATTAGGGATGTGGAATAACGGAAATCATGAGCTTTGTCATCAGAGGGACCTGAATTTGCATTCTGACCTCATCACATACTAAATTCTGTGAAGCTGTGGTCCTCAATTTCTGAAAGTATAATGGGAACATTAAACCATTCAGTTTATGGAAAATGATGAAGATGACTCCTGGCACAGAGTTCCTTCCAGTACCTAAGAGGGGGTCTGCTCCATCTGTGGGATGCTTTAGTTGGGAGTTCTAAATTGTGAAGCTTCCCTAGGTCACAGCCTACTTATTAAGGCAGCCTTGGGCAGATCACTGTGTACTCTGCCTCGAACGTTGCTGACTGGCCTGCCTTGCCTGGCTTTCTAATGTGTAATGTGAAATGCAGGCCCAGTCCTGCTTTAAGGGAAGAAGTGTGGCTGAGAGCCAGTTGTTATAAAATCAAACTTCAAAGGAAGGAAAAAAGGGATAAGGTGACTGCTGGTGAGTAAGACAGAGTTGAAGGAGGTGGGCGGGGGTGGGGGAGCTCTTCACGCAGGAGGTTTGAGGGTGCAAAGAAAAGCCACCGGTCACAGTGGTCCACCGAAGCGCTCAGCTGTTTCCTGCCGTTTCACACCTGGGTCAGCGGGGATAAGGACAGTGAATCGTCTCACGGCCCTTCCAGATTCTCTCAAGTTAACCAGGGATGTGTGGGACCAAACAGGAAGGAAAACCAGAAAAGTCAGTAGCTTAGCTACATGGACTCTCAGAGTAGACTGTTAAAAAAATAATAATAATAAGCAAAACGT